ATAGCAGGTGTCTAACAGAAGCCAGCTCCCTCTCTGAACCCCAGCCCCAAGTTTCCTCAGAGAAGCTGCCACTCCTCTCCCTACCCCCCACCCCCGCAGTGCTTGTTCCACAGCTCTCCTCACCTCCCCTACACATGGACTCAGTGCCGCCTCCCTTTCAGGCATGGGTGAAGCTGTGAATTGCTGGGTACCCACCTCTCCCCTTTCACCCCTCCCCTCCTGGCCTTTCCCAACCCAGATACACATCACACCAGCCCCCACTCAGTGTCCTCAGCTGGCTGTCAGCTAATCCCTGCAGAGGAGTTAACTGATAATTAAGATGTTAGCTGTAAACTTAACATGTGATTCTCTGCCAGGAGTATTTTGGTCTTAACAGGTTGCTTTTGGAATAGGAAAACCTTCAAGAGCCAGCCAAATGGCAGGCAGGGATGCAGAGTGGGGTGTTGGGGGGCACTCTGCACCTGGAGACCTTCCAGCCTCCAGAACGCCCTCCTCACCTCTCGCTTCACTGAGGACAGAAGGCAGGCATGGGAACCCAGAGCTCCGCCTTTCAGTGTCAGCCCCACACCTGTGAGGCGATGACCCTGGACATGAGATGAAACCTCTCAGAACCTCAGTTTTCTCATCTGCAAATGGTGAGATAAAGTGCCAACCTTGAAGAATTGCAGTGCAGGCTGACAAGTCAGGCCCCATGTGCCCAGCACATAGGAGTCCTGAGAGCTCCTGTTGTCCCTGACTTCCCTTTGCCTCTTCCCACACTGAAGGTAACTGTGTCAGCTTCCACTCCTCCCGCCTCCTCACACCAACTCCGATCAATCACCAGGTCTATTTTCTCAACTTCCTAAATCTCTCCCCAGGCAAAGATCAATGGAATCAAACAGCGAGGCCTGGACAGACATGAGACTTTTGGGACATTTCGGCAGATGACAGGAATGGAGCTTCAGAGCGGCAGGGAAAGGATGCTGACCCAATAAACAGTGCTGAAACAACTGCGAGTCATTTGGGAAAAAACCACTTAGATCCCTACCTCAAACCACACACAGAAACACATTTCAGATGAACTAGAGATTTAAATATTTGTGAATATCATAAACAACCAGAAAACAGTATAGGCCAATATTTTTAAAATTCTGCAGTGGGTAAGGCCAGGAACTCTAAAGGAAAGGAGTGATAGACTTGAACACAGGACAATCTAAAACTTTTAAGGGGTTAAATAAATCCCATAAACTTAAATGGAAAAAAAAAAAAAAAACTTGTGAATAATGATTTGCACATATGCCAAATAAGGAGTTAATTTCCTTAACCTCTTCTAAATCCACTGGCTCTTGCAAATCAATAAGATGCATTTTGCCGCCCCCAATTGCTGAAACCACGGTCACCTGTGACCTCCCCTTTGCTGAGGCAGTGACCAGTTCTCAGTCTGCATCCTTGGCCCCATTTGACAGGTGCTTGAAATGTGTCTTGCCCTTGGCATCCAGGACATACATGCCTGGTTCTTTTCCATCTCACTGGTTGCTCCTTCTCAGTCACCTTTTCGGTACCCCCTCAGCTCCCCACCCTCTAACTGATGGAGGTCTTGGGGCTGGGACATTGGTCTTTTCTACCTACTCTCCTTCGATGCTCTCATCCAACATCATGGCTTTAAATACTGTCTTTATGCTGATGGCCCCAAATTTTTATCTCCAGCCCAGACCTGTCCCCTGGACTCCAGTCACACACATCCACCTGTCAACTCCATGGTTCTGCCAGGCTGTCTACAGGCATCTCACAATTTATGAGTCCACTGCCAGGGCTGGCTCATAGGTGTGTGACCTGGGCTCTGCACTCAGAAGGGCCCCAGGCTTGGTTTAATGCTCTATTGTCACCTCCCACTTTGAAATTCTTAATTTTTTTTTAACATAAAGTCACCCATTTTCACTGTGCTCTGGGTCCCACACATTATGTAACCATTTTTTCCAAATGACTCATAGTTGTTCAGCACTCTTGTCCACCACTGAGCCACTCCTCTCCCCTACACCAACCCACTCCTCCCTGATCTCCCCATCTCCATCAATGGCAACCCCACACTCCAAATGCTTGGGCCAAAACCCCTGGAGTGATGGTTGGCTCCCTTCTCTCTCTCTCACACACCACCTCATCCAATCTGTCAGCAAATCCTATTGGCTCTACCTTGAGCATGCATGTGGAATCCATCCCCTTCTGCCCACCTCCACCAAGACTCCCTGGTTCAGGCTTCCATCGCCTCCTCCCTGGATCATTGCAACAAACAGCCTCCTGTCAGATCTCCCTGCTTCACAGCTGCCAGAGGGATCTGGTTAAAATGTAATTCCAATCATGCCATGTCACTATGCAGAACCTTCCATGGCTTTCCCCACTTCATTCTGGGTAACAGTCAAGTCCTCCAGGCGGCCTGCAGGTCCTGAGTGATGAGCGCGTGGTCCCTGTTCAGCTGCATGGCCCACTCTCTCCCTCACTCACCCTGTTCCGGCCACACCAGCCTTCTTGCCATGTCCCCACAAGCCAGGTCTGCTCCTGACTCAGGGTCCTCAGACCTGCTGTTCCCTCTGGAAGGCGATTCCCCCGAAACATCCACCCAACTCAGTCTCTCGCTTCTTGCAGGTCTTTACTTAAATGCCACCTCTCGAAGACACCTTCCCTGATGACCATGTCCAAGTTGCCCAACACTTCCCATCCCCCTCCTCTGCTTGGTTATTTTTCTCCTTAGCACTTAACACTCCCATATGCATGCTGTATTTTTTCCTTGTCTGTCTCTCCTCCATCACAGCTTACATTCCTTGGAGCAGGTATATTTCATCAGTTTTGTTCACTGTTTGGTCCCTAACCAAAACAGTGTCTGACACATAGTAGGTGCTCAGTAAATACTTCCTGAATGAATGGATACAGGAGCAGAGGACTTGACATGAACAAGCAATTTGCAAGTGAAGAAACAGAAATGGCCAACAAGCATATGCAAATATGCTCAACCTCATTAGCAGTCTAAGAAACATAAAGTAAAATCATTTTTATCTGTCAAATTGGCAGGGATTAAGTGATTAATAATTCCTGTGATTGGCAAGGGTGAGGGAATGGGGCATTTTGCACACAGTTTGTAGGAGCATAAATTGGCTCAACCTTCTGCAGGTTGATCTGGCTTTCGAGAACAAATCAAATGTGGAAATGTGGGTGCCCTCTGACTCAGGAAGTCCACTTCCAGAAACATTCCCAAAAGAACTACAGCACAAGCACACACAGATGTGCAAACCCAGAGGTTCCCTGAGTGAGGTTTATAAATAACCGAATGCCAGAAACAACCTAAACGGCTGCCAACAGGATTAATAACTGATGAATAATTTGCAGACCATCATACAAGGGATGTAAAAGGATGGGAAAGAACTCTATGGAAGGACCTGGGATGATCCACATGACATTGTTAGGTAAAAAAATCAAGTGCTGGAACAGTATAACTAATATGAGCCCAAGTTTTTCCTTTTAAAATATGTTGATAAGTACATAGAAAAAAGTCTGGAAGGGGACATATCAAATGAGTTATCAGTGTTAGCTCTTGGCAGGAAAAGACTACAGAAGGGGCTTGAACTGCATGCTTTAAATACCAAGAGATAGATGGATAGATAGACGGATGAATAGATAGATAACATATAGAGAACATATTACCTTAATAATCAGAAAAAATGATTCTGCTCAGGGAGAAAATACCTTCTGTGACTCCCCAATATTAAAGGGTGCAGAAGTAAGCCATTCCAAGCCCTCCATAACTTGTCACTGCCTCATCCCTGTTACCCCCACCCCCACTCTGGCTCCCCAAAGTGCTCTGGGTTCCAAGCTCATGAAGCAATTTTCTATTCCTGGTTCCTTTCACAGCTCCATGCCTGTCTCTCAGCTCTGTTCGCAGGCACAAAGGCCCAACCTGCCCTGTCCCATGACCTCCTCAGCCTGGACTCTGCCGTCAGAGAGCCAGATGGGGGAAGACGAGGAACCCTACAGCATGCCCAAAGACCAGGACGGCTGCCCCAGCCCCCAGTGAGAGCCGCCAGGTCTCTGTCCTAGGGACAGCCTGCGGCAGCTGGGGGAGCAGGAAATGCCCCTCGATTGTGGCCTGGGCAGGCTGGTTGGCCCTGGCTCCAGGACACCCACAACAGCCACTGGAGGCAGCTGATCTGAGGAGGCCAGGGTGAGCCCAGCAAGGAGGTCTGGCCAGAGGAGGAGGGAGACTGGGGGTTCAGCCCCCCAACTTGGGTTGCCAGATTTGGCAAATAAAATTGTATGTGCCATGTAATATTTGAGATATATTTACACTGAAAAATTATTTGTTGTCTGTCTGAAGTCCAAATTTAACTGGACATCAGTATTTTTTTCTGGAAACCCTACCTGCTACCCCATCCTATCCCTTGGATATGGCACCAGGCAGAAAGCCTTCACCTGGGATGTCCAGGAGTGGCGGAGGAATGACCTCTCTCAGGCCCACCACAGAGGGGGACTGAAAGTTGAGACAGGCTCATTCCGGGTGCTGAGGGATGTCCCACAGAGAGTTGGGAACTTCCAGAGTTAGCGCCATCAGGCACTGCAGCGGCAGTGAAAAGCCGGGTGACAGCAAAGGGAGCTGAACAGCAAAACCTTCTGAGCCAAGGCACTCGGCGGGTGTGTGGCGCAAAACAGCCTGAGCAAATGCAGTGAGCACGGGACACAATGCTGGGGTTGCAGGGATGGCGTGTCCCAGTGCCTCTCAGCATCTCGGGGACACAGCCTGGTGATGAAGAATGGCTGAGGGGTGGCCTTCCTTCTCAGACGTCAGGAACTCCTCCATAGGAGGCCCCTCTGCTGCGGGGGCCTTCAACTCTCACACTGTGTCCCCCACCAAGGCCCCTGGCAGGGGCTCATTCGCTAAAGGCCAGCCTGAGTCGGGGGACCTGGTCCTCACCCCCAGAGCCTCCCACCCAGCACGGAAGCATGAGGCAGGGTGAGCCTGCCTCGGTCTCCCCTACCTGGGTCAGATGGCGTCGGGAGGCAAACAGACTGGCCTCTGGGGGCCTGGGGTGCAGCAGCCTGTCCGTCGCGGTCCCAGCATGCACTGTGGGGGAAGAGCAAGGTTAGTGGGGCAAAGATGGGGCTTCCTGCTACCCCGGGTGAGGCCCACCTCAGCACAGCTCCCCACGGTGGATCCCCATTGCCCAGCCTAGTGGGGCTCAGGTGCTGCCTCCCAGCACAGCACATGCTCCTCAGTGCCATCCCTACCCACTCCCCAGCACCCTGGAGTGGCCAGCCCTTAACCGATCACAGCCTCAGGAGCATGAACTCCCTGGCCTGGCATTCAAGGCCCTGTCTAAGCCTCTAACCTTCTCACTGTCTCTCCATATCCTCCAAAGGTCAGTCCCAACTCTGCAAGTTTTGTTCACGTGCACAGATACACAGACAGACAACCCCACCCCATTCTCTCTAAGACTCCCACTGCTACCAACAAATCTGTCCTCTGCCTCCTGGAAGCTTCACTTACATGTCCTCAGCCCCAGCACCCCTAATGTCCTCAGCCCCAGCACCCCTCAATGTCCTCAGCAAGGTCCCCAAGGACCCCATCAGCCCCCCAGCTCTCCCACCTCAGCCTGTGGTCTCTGGCAGCTGACCTCCCTTAGGAACACTCTCTCTGTGACTCCCCGATCCACCCCTCCTCATTCTTCACTGCACCCCCATCACTCATCCTAGACATGGCCATAGGTGCTATCTCCCTTCCTCCCACCGCCTGGACCATCCTGCCCACACCTGTGCTTCAATCACCCTCTGCCTATGCCCTCAGCGGCACCCTCTATGCCCAGAGGAGGGTGAAGCCCCCTAACCTGGCCCACAGGGCACTGCCCAACCCAGCCCTGATCTGTGGGCCACCCTCACCTCCCCTCCAGGCCACACGGCAACCTGCCACCTCCTCAGAAAGCTCTCTGTGACCACCTCCTTTTCACAGTCTCCAAAGTCTTCCATAGTTCACCCTGGAGGAAGCCGTCCTCACTGCGTCGCACTGTCCTGACAGACTGACTTGTCATTTGGTTTTCCTTGTTTCAACAGTCCCACAGCAAACTTTTTCCATCAGGTTTATTGAGGTATAATTATCCTACAGTAAAACTGACCCTCTCTAGTGCACAGTCTATGAGTTTTGACAACTGCGTGCAGCTGTGTAACCACTATAGTCATCAAGGTACAGAACAATCCTGTCACCCCCAAATCCCTGCATGCTGTCTCTTTGTAGTCAACTCCTCCCAGCCCCTACCCCTGGCATCCACTGATCTGTTTTCTGTTCCTGTCGTTTTGCGTTTTCCAGAGTGTCATACAAATGGAGTCATCTAAACGTAGCCCTCTGAGTCTGGTTTCGTTCATCCAGCATAATGCATTTCAGATTGATTAATATCTGTGTTGCCTCTTGAAACCAAATGTCTTTCTTTTTTGTTGCTGTGTAGTACTCCATTGTTTATCCATTCAGCAGCTGAAGGGCATTTGTGTCGTTTCCAGTTTTTGGAGACTATGAATAAAGCCACTATAAGTATTCACATACAGGTTTTTGTGTGAATGTAAGTTTTTATTCCTCTTGGTTAAGCACCTAAAGTAGGATTGCTGAGTTGTGTGGTAAGCCTATTTTTAACTTTATAAGAAACTGCCAAACTGTTTTCCAAGTTGGCTATACCATTTTGCATTCCCACTAGCAACCTAGGAGAGTTCCAGTGGCTTTGTACCCTTGCCAACACTTGGTATTAGCCATTTTCAAAGTCAATGTAATGATATGTAGTGGTATTGCATTGTGGGGTTTTTTGGGTTTTTTTTTTTGTTTGTTTCGTTTTTCTTTGAGATGGAGTCTCGCTCTGTCACCTAGGCTGGAGTGCAGTGGCGCGATCTCGGCTCACTGCAACTTCCACTTCCCTGGTGGGGAAGTGATTCTCCTGCCTCAGCTTCCTGAGTAGCTGAGATTACAGGCGCGCATCACTACACCCAGCTAATTTTTGTATTTTTAGTAGAGATGGGGTTTCACCATGTTGGCCAGGCTGGTCTTGAACTCCTCACCTCAGGTGATCCACCCGCCTCGGCCTCCCAAAGAGATGGGATTACAGGTGTGAGCCACCATGCCCGGCCTGCATTGTGGTTTTAATCTGCATTTCCTTAATGACTAATAATGATGAGCATCTATCTTTTCATGTGCCTGATTTATTTTTTTAGCGCCATCGCTATTAGAGATAAACATCTTAATTATTTAAATTATTTACCTGTTTACTTTCCATCTCTTCCATTACACGTGAAAGCAGAGACCTTGGTGTTCATTCCCCCAATACCTAGAATAGCATCTGGTACTGGATAATGATGATGGCAATGATGGTGGTGATGACTGTTGTGGAGGTGGTGATAGCTAACATTTATAGAGCCCTTAGCATTTGCCTAGCACCATTCTGAGTGCTTTATGCATAGTAACTCACTTAGTCCTCACAACTGCCCCAAAAGACAGAGATGCTATCAATATTCCCATTTTACAGAAGAGAAAACTAAGGTAGAGAGAGGCAACTAGCTCAAGGTCACACAGTTAATAAGGGGAGAGCCAGTCCTTGATCCCAGGTGTCCTGGAGTCAGAACACCTGACTAGGTCCTTGGCCAAACCCTACATGCAACACCCATGGAGGGATGCATTGTCCTTGTACACTCTGTATCTGGAAGCTCCCTGATTAGCTTCCCACTAGAACCCATCCTCTTCCTCACCTTCTGGACAGTATAGATGTGATCAGGATATTACACAGCCCACAGCAACCACTCGATATGCCCCAGGTGGAGAGAATAAAGAGGAGTCACGGCCTTGGCTCTTCTGAAACCTGGCTCTGAAAATGGTCCCATAACAGCCTTTGTACCGGAGAATTTTATTGCTCACTGAATGTCAGCACATTTCCTTGGCATTTCCTCAGCCCCTTTAGAGTTGTGCCATATGAGAAGTTCTGCCCAACGGGCTGTGAACAAAAGCAATGCGTGTCATTGCTGAGCCAAAGCATTTCAGAGCCTGTGCGAGACCTCATCATTGTCTCTTCTCTGCCATGGTGACTGGAAGTCACATGTTCTGAAGGGGCTACAAGATGATGGAGCTCCTGGCAGCCTAGGTCCCTGAATTGTTGTGTGGACCAGAGATCCACCACCCTGCCCACATCCCACACCGGGCATGGAATGTGAGTTCATGTGGTAAACGGAGGAAGGAAGAGAGCCTTTGTTGCATTAAATCGCTGAGAGTTCAGACAGTACCGGTTAGTGCGGCACAACCTTGCCTATCCTACAACATCCCAAGTGCCCCTTTGGGGGCAGGTCACCTTGCTGCATTTGTTGTTAGAACATGTTTGGATGACTTTATGAATGAGAGAACTAAGCCCCATTTGGGAGACTCTAAGTAACTAAAATTTCAGCGGGGGTAGAATAATCTCAGTTCCCAAGTTCAAGAGTTCCGTATCCACAAGGAAAAGGGAGATCTTCCAGGCCCTGCAATGGGCTCCACCAGAAGGACCTTCCCCACATGGAGAAGGGAGGTGTGAGCTGAGGCAGGTGGTGGCATCTCCATGAGAGTTGGGGCCTATGCCTACATTCGAGGGCCTGAACTTGACTTTAGGGCAAAGGCTGGGGCATCTTCAGAGCTCTATCCTTGACTTGGGTCTAGGACCAGCTCCCAGAAAGGTTCTGGGGCCCCCAAGTCATTTGTCCACAACTCAGGGGGATAAGGAAAACTCCACAAGGCCACAGGGCCTTGGAGCTGCAAGCTTAATTGCAGGTTTATATTTTGAACTTACTGGTGTTTTACTCTGGCAATTATCACCTTAAATGTTGTGTGCTCCTGTGGGACAACACGAGAAACAAGGAGAAGAGGCTACCCCTTAAGATAACAGGGGCACTAGCAGGCAACCCAAGGGAAAGCCCTTCCTGTTGATAAATGCCCCTGCGACTTCTCTCTTTCCCCAATAAGTAAGCCTTGGTGGCAGTGGAATCCACCTACAAGATCAACAGGTGTGACTGATCCAGCGCAACTGAAAACAAAGTCACACCAGGAAACCAGCAGTCTCTGCTCCATTCTTTGCCTTGAGCATCTATCTACTTGGGAGTTAATTTTGATGATGAGAAATTCAAAATCGTACATTTGGTCATTTCTCTGTGTGTGTGTGGTGTTTTTTGTTTATTTGTTTGTGCTTTTTTTTTTTGTTTTTTTTTTTTTTTTTTTTTGTAAAGGAGACATGTTTAATTGGGTGCAGGCTGAGCTTTTCACCCTGCTTGGACACCTTGAGTCCACCATCATGGCTACAGCATTTGCTCAGATAGGCTTGAGATAAGGAACTGGTCAGGGATGCAAGGATGGCTCCTGGCTAGAGTGGAGTTGGCTGGGCTGGGGTCAGCTCAGACCCTCAGGTCCAAAGTCCACTGAGCATCTCACTCAGGGAGGAAGGGGTTGTAGGCTTCGACTTTATGGTCTGATTCACAGAGGCCCAGGCAATGTTGGGATGAATGCACAGGCTCTTGGAAAATGCCTGGCTAGAATCGCTTTGAGGGAGGAGTCCCTGAATGCAACATGAATCGTTTTCCCTTGAATGGTTTTTGCTGATTGATTGGGCTTTAGTTCACTGTCTGCCAAGGGTGTGGGGGGCTGAAAACAGAGGACAAAGGTTCAGAGGCAAATGGTGAAGGCAGCGCCTATGGGAATGCAGGAAGAGCTGGCACAGGAAAGAGGGGACAGGCGGAGGGAGGGTGGAGGGGAGGGGAGTGGAGGAGGGAAAGTGGCAGACACCCAGGTGAGGGGTGAACACCATTGCCACTGTGGTTGTCATAATCATCATGGTCCCCATAAATCGCACCCAGTGAGCCCCCTGGGCTAAGCGCTTTCCTTCTGCTAACTCATCTGCTTCCCACACATGCCCTCGAGGCGGGTACCTTGACCATCCTGATTTCCAGGATGGGGAAGCTGAAGCATGGAAAGGTGAAATATCTTGAAAGGAATGGGGTCGTTTCAAACCCAGGCAGTCCAGCTCCAGCACTCATCCCTAAGAGTCCCTGATAAAACCGCGGTGGTGAGGTTGGAAATGA